TATTCTATGTGTGTGTATATTATATATTTAATATATATATATATATATATATATATATATATATATATATATATATATATGTATGCAGTTTAAAACTGTGGTAACTTACAAATACAAAAAAAAACAAAAAAACTTTTAAATCCAACAGCCCTTTTCTGCCGAATTAGCATAATCACTATACTTATTTTAATGAAAAACCATCAAATATGAAGCATCACACAGGGCATTCTGGGAATGATAAGTTTTTCATTGTAAATTATAAGATGACTTGTTCTTTTATTTCTCAAAATACATTTAACAGTATTTTTATCCCCAAAGGAAGTTTTAGTTTACTTCAGGGGACAAATTGGTCCCCAAAATGTAAGTACATCGAGTGGTAAATACACTATATTTGAACACACACACACACTTTGTGAAAAGTGGGGACATGGGGTAATGTCCTGAAAAGTCACCTTCTCCTTGTAATGCCTATGTTATGCCCTTGTCATTATACAAATTTATGTCCTCATTTGTCACAAAACCCCGCGCACACACGCACACACACACACACTTTGTGAAAAGTGGGGACATGGGGTAATGTCCTGAAAAGTCACCTTCTCCTTGTAATGCCTATGTTATACCCTTGTCATTATACAAATTTATGTCCTCATTTGTCACAAAACCACGCGCACACACGCACACACACATACACACACACACACACACACACACAAACACACACACACACACACACACACACATTACATGCCAGGACTCCATATACAAGAGACATGCCCATGCACAGACAAGCTGAAGCTTATAAACACACATATCCTCACACACTAACTCTGATTCATACAATTCACTGTAATTCAGGTGAGCCACATTTACCCAGTCATGTATAAATCTCACGGGTGTGTGATTCAGGAGACTCGCGCACACATGTTCTGGGAAAGATCTGAAAATCCACCCACGTTTGACATCACTTCTGGCAATACACCAATTCTGCTCAGACTCACCATGTCAACTTTATCATCAGCCATCAATTCAGGGTAAAATACCCTGAACGAACAAACACACACACGGCCACATACATACACATAAACTGTTTGCAAATGCACTTTTGTGCTTACACATACAGGCATAACATGGAACATACATAAACACATAAGTCGTAACACATAATTTCGAAAACAAATTCAGAATTGGTGAAATAAAAGTAGATTCAGATGCCATTTACATCAGTAAGTCACACAAAGTCTGAAGTGAAAGTAGATTTACAGTGCAGTCTCAGTTCTTTAATTATTTAGATGTGTTTTAGACAATCTCCTTAACCACACACACACACACACACACACACACACACAGTCACTCTCAGTTAAGTCTTCCCCAATAGATACCTGGATTTAACTGAGTCCATTTTCCTCAGTCAGACATCTTTAAGGTGTCTTTCTCTCCCTCTCGTCTTCCTGAATATGTCTTTCAGAGTCCTCAGCCTCTTTCTATATCATTTGTCTTTAACCCGTCCTTCAGTAACAGGTTGAGCAAGCGAGACCAGATTCTTCAGACTTAGATCTCAGGTATGGCTGCACCCCGAGAAGATAAACCTGATTGGGCCATCAGTGCTTTCTGATGTGATTGACAACCAACCAGCTGTTGATCACAGGTACATAACAACATGTAAAGTTATACTTGTTTAGACAGGGATGATAGGTTTGTGGTTTAGTCCCACAAAGACAAGCTTGTACACAAACACACTCATACACACACACACACACACACACACACACACGCAAACATGCAAAATAAGGAAGAAAGAATGTTATTTGGTCTCCAATCAGGAAATTAAAATGCTGGGAGGTTTTGGGAGGTGCTTACCCAAAACAAAAACATCAACACAATGCCATGGCAATATTTAGGTACCTAGTTTTGGCTGTATATGTAAAGGTTCTTCCTTTAAATATAAAGGGAAAAAATCGGAGTGAATCCGATTTTCAGAAAATTTTATCATCTGCCAAAATCAGTGATGTCTATATTACAGGTTGTATGGTACCAGTCAATCTGTGAAAAAAGGAAGAGAGAGAGAGGGCCTGAGAAATATCAGACTGAAATAAATTCAGTGGGATATGAATGCAGAACAGCAACATTGCGCAAGATCATAACCGACATGCATATAATTACACAAGCACCTTCATCAAAGGAAACACAGCTTGTCTAATGGTTAAGGGTCTGCTAACAAAACACTTGTAGATTTAGTGCGTGCTGGTGAGGCCTTTCATCAAAGCATGCACTTCCAGGTTTCATCTAACATGGGAATGACTTCAAATGAAAAGCAAATTACACATGAATTAAAAATATAAGCACTTTATGTAGATGGTGTAGAAATCACAGAAAATACACAGTAATCACAGAAATCACACAAAATACAAGGGAGAGCCCCTAGATAAAAAACCTATGTGGATGACAAATCTAACAAAAGTCTTCAGGATTTCATGAAAATTATATGGTGTTACATAAATTACATTATATGATTGTTTAGGGATGAAGCTAAAGTATTTTGGATCATAAAATCCAAAATATATCAAATATTACAAAAATTCCTTTGAATATGTTTTACTTCAGTCCATAGGATATACAAAAGTGACATGAAATGATTTTTGCTGATCATTTTCCGCTCTTGCCTGTTTTAAGGTTAAGGCAAAAAAGTAAAAAAATAAAATAATCTGTGGTCAAATCAACTTTATACTTTGCATTTGCATTGCATTTTAATGCTAGTTTCCAGCTAAAGCACCATATTAGCCTGTGGAATAATGCACTTACACAAATCACCCCTCAAATTATATAAAAGACCCCTCAAGTAAAAACGCAACTATAGATTGTTTTTGTTTTGTACATGTAAATACCTCTGCTATCAGCATTAAATTCATCTATACAGTTGGAGGCATTATTGGGTAAATAAGGCCTCTCACAAAACCTATCAAGAACATGCCCAAAAAAAGAAAAATAAAGAAATTTAAAATAAAGAATTAAGAATCTCCTGATTTAAAAAAAAAGTTTAATACTGAAGACTGGCGTAATGGCTGCTAAAAACTACAGGAACATAGTTTTGACTGTATTTTTTATCAAATAAATGCGGTCTTGGTGAAAAAGAAAAAAAAAACAACAAAACAAAAACCTTACCCAAAATTTGGAACAAAAGTGTTTGTGTGTGTGTCACCTGGTATTACATTATAGGGACCAAATGTCCCCACAAGGATTGTAATACCAGTAAATTTGAGGAACATGAGGAATCAAGCAAGCTTATAAATCATACAAGAATGAAGTTTTTTGAAAATCTAAAATAGCAGTAAGTTTTGAGTGAGGGGTAGGGTTAGGGTTAGGGGATAGAAAATACAGTTTGTACAGTATAAAACCATTACGCCTATGGAATGACCCCATTAAACAGAAACTAGTGTGTGTGTGTGTGTGTGTGTGTGTGTAATCTGAACATGTTATTAAGAGATGTGTGCTATAAGGAGAACTGAACTGGGAGAGAATATGCATGATTATGCTATATCCATTGCATATATGAAAAATTACAACCCAAACCCCAACCACCCAATCACCCTCGTTCAGATACATTCACTAACAAAACTAACAAAAGCCTGGATGACATACAAACATATAACGCAGAACATATGCATGTTCATAAAAAATTTAGTGTGAAATCCTCAAACAACTGGAAATATGACATGGTCAAAAATTCAGCTGTAGACCCACTTCCACTCTTAAAGGAATCCAATGGAAATTGGTGAAAGGTTAAGATCTCTATTAATGCCCTGTTCTCCATTCTCTTTCAACAGCGTCAGTGTGAAGCACTTGTGTCCTGTGAAAGGAATCTGTTCTCGATGTTGTCTGCACAGTTAACCAAACACATGTCCTTCAGAGTGTCGACGAACATCTGGATGCGGTGACATGGCAAAACATTGCTCCCTCCTCCACTGCCACTGTCACTCCAAACCTTCAGCATCTGGTAGTGGGCATCTTTGCAGTTCCGGTGGTCTTGTTCCGCCCTCTCAATGTTCTGCTCAGAAACGCCAAGCCGACGTACAAGTTCTTTAAATCGTCCAATAGGCACCTCGTCCAGTACAAAATAGAAGAACTCGTGAACTACAAAAGCAAACGTCAGAGAAAGAAATGGTGAGAGACAGACAATAGACGTGAATCATCTTTGAGCATCATTACTTAAGCCTCCAGGGATTTATGTGTAGAAACAAATAAACACAGACATACTTTTGATCTCTCTTGGGACGCAGTCTGGGAGTTTTCCATTTTGTTCTGTCTCGCACGGCTGGTTTGTGAAAGGTACACTCTCATGTATTGTGTCTGGTTGCACTGTAATAATCAGTGTCTGTGAAGAACATTAAAAATATATATTAATTACTTAATAACATGCAGAAAACAATACAATAATCAAAACAACACCAGTCAAATAGGATATAACACATCACGTGATCTTGAAGAAGCACATGGCTTCCATGAAGGTACTGCAGGTGTCTATGGACTAATAATTATTTAAAAAATTATTTTAAAATGATATATCAGGGGTCTTTAACCATCAAATAAATACCGTTTTTTTTTTACATTTCTATTCACAAAGGATACTAAAAAGTATCACGTTTTTTTTTCATAAACATATTAAGGAGCACGAGTGTTTTCAATAATCAGAATTTTACATCATTTCTGAAGGATCGTGTGACACTGAAGACTGGAGTTAACGGCTGCTGTCATTCATTTTAGGAATGAATTACATTTAAAAATATATTCAAATAGAAAACAGTTAATATAGCACCAGTTTAGCATTTATTTATGAAAGACATTCGTGCTATTATGGTATGATGGTATTTTTGACATTATTTTTTATTAGGGGGTCCTCAAGTTGGCCAAGAGTTCAGAGAGAGAGTACATGTGATAGAAATATAAGTATTCGTATTTATCATCAAAGCTGAATCATCTTCTGTGAAAACAGAGCTACAGTAATTATGTGTTTAGCATCAAATATGAATCACTCGCATTGTGAAGAAGAATGGTTGTGGTGTCCTTGTCATTGTTTGTCAAATGTCAATAAAGCATTTTACCTGATCTTCGGAAGCAGGTGATGATTCCTGCGATGACAAAGCTTTGACAAGCCTCTTTTTCTTCCAAAGTCTGATGCCCTCGTATAACATGAACACTCCCAGTGCTATAACCGTGATAAACGCACAAACGGGGACCAGTATTTGCGGTAATGTTCCTGAAACATTAATGTGACGGGAAAAAAAGAAATTAAAATCACCCCTCAGTATTATTATTTTTTGCTTGAAGACACATGTTGCTTTTGGACCATACAGAGACATTTAGCTTAGTCATGGCAAGACAAATTCAAAAGAACTTGAGAGGGGACTTTCCAAGATTACTCATGCTTTCTAAAAAAATCTAATACTAGTTCTCTTCATCCAAACACTCTAAAGCTATAGTTTGCCAACAGTTGTCTGTCTGGCATCCACAATATTAAGAAAGCCAACAGACATGTCTCATATTTTCTCCGCCTCTGAAGGACACACATTTTTGGATGGATGTTGTACCAGTGGTGAGCAGTGTTTTTTTTTTAAATAGATGTAAATTCTCGTCCCAGTTACACATTTTCCTGGTTAAATAAACAGAACTTACACTATCAAGAAGAAAGAATGAAAGAAACCAAATACAATTCTATTTTGTATTTTTACATTAACACTGTAAGTAATGTTCTGTTTATTAAAACCAAGTAGAAATCTCATCAAGCTAGTATTTTAAGCATTTTTTTTTTTACATTCATTCCAAAATAATAACTATTCAGCTGTTCTTATTAATGTCAACTTTTCGGATCATTAGTCATCAAAGCTCAGTAAATAAGTAATTTCACCAAGCTAATTGCTCACTAAAAAACCCCCACCGATCATGTTCTCAGGACATTTCAAGTTTTATTTTGACGTGACAAATTGGTGATATCTGGAGTGGGTGAGTTGTTTACTTACATTTTAATTAGGCTTCCCATTAATGACATCAGTTTGTTCATTCAGACTGATTAGCGAATGCGTAACACATATAAAACAGGATGCAGGATTTATTGCATGAACCAATCATAGCGAGATGGAGGCATAGCCTCTTCTCATGTGACTTTCCCCCATTCATTCTCAATTTATCCCTTACCAAACCCACCGCACGCTTTAAGGATATGTTAAAACTCAATAGGCTTAGGAGAGACAAGAGAGATGCAGCCTCCCACTGTAATTGATGTTGTAGTGTTACTTAAAAAAATAATAATAATGATGATTTTCTTTTTAACATATTTGTAAATAAGTAATTTCACCAAGCTAATTGCTCACTAAAAAACCCCCACCGATCATGTTCTCAGGACATTTCAAGTTTTATTTTGACGTGACAAATTGGTGATATCTGGAGTGGGCGAGTTGTTTACTTACATTTTAATTAGGCTTCCCATTAATGACATCAGTTTGTTCATTCAGACTGATTAGCGAATGCGTAACACATATAAAACAGGATGCAGGATTTATTGCATGAACCAATCATAGCGAGATGGAGGCATAGCCTCTTCTCATGTGACTTTCCCCCATTCATTCTCAATTGATCCCTTACCAAACCCACCGCACGCTTTAAGGATATGTTAAAACTCAATAGGCTTAGGAGAGACAAGAGAGATGCAGCCTCCCACTGTAATTGATGTTGTAGTGTTACTTAAAATAATAATAATGATTTTCTTTTTAATGTCATATTTTGTAATATTTGCATAGTTTTCTCATCCAATTTTGTGAAGAGGCACTGCATCCCTTGCCTCCTCATAGGAAATATCACTGACCAGTACTCACCTGGAGGACTAGTTGGGCTGGCGGACTTAACAGGGTTACGAGGTGTGCTGGATACGCACAAGTGTTGACACTCCTCCTGACATCTATAAGGCATAAAGAACACACATGTTGATTATTTTGTCTGCCATGTCTAAAGTTATACTAAAAAAAACAACAAACTAAAATTAAAAATATATATACATATATAAAATAAAAAATTGGATAAAAGCGTCTGCTAAATGACTAAAATAAAATGACTATAATATCCAAGATGTGTACTTGTATTGAGTTATTAATATTGGTTAAACGCATTTCAAACACAACAACACACAAAACTGAGCTTGTGTAGTTAAATGCATTTGCATTCATAAATGTACTTATGTACTGCGTTTGGCTCTGTACATTAAGCTGGGATGAAAGTATTGCAACACAGAAAATAACACACTTCACCTTTAACATAAAATTTTCAGGAGAGCAGGCATACAGTAAATGCAAGGAAGGAAGTCTGTACTTGTGGACTTTTGAAATCAAAAGATGAATAAGTGCATTCATCATCTTAACCTCTGAACATGTGCCACACCATAATAAGTGCCAGCAGGGTATTGAAGAGTACTGAAGTGTGACTTACTTAACACACGGCTCACAGACGTTTTTGCCCTTGACAGGGTAATGGTTGTCTTTGCATCGACACTGTGTATTCTGTTCGCCAGTACCTGACAAAAGTGAAAACATTAACCAAGGGTACGCTATAATGTATGTACAAGATTTATATATAACTATAATTAATTATGAAGCTTTATTAAGCTTGAGGAACTTACATTCCACAGCTTTCTGCTGCCCAAGTCCACACTTCTTACACTCCTTACATTCCCATGTCAAGTCGCCTAATTTCTTATAGTAGTATCTAGGATCACACCCACACACCCGATTGCTTTTGAATGTACATGGTGATATCTCTTTGGAATGGGCTGTGATTAAAACATGAAAGACATATGAAACCTGGGCAAAGGTCAAATGAATTGACTTTGTGAGGTTTTTAATAGTCAGTCATTCACATATTAAAGGGATACTTTCATCTAAAAATGAAAATTGTCATCATTTATTCTCATGTTCTTCCAAACTTTTACAACTTTCTGTCTAATGTGGAACACAAAAGAAGGTATTTTATAAAAATAGTGTTGTTTTTTTTTGTCAAAACAATTAAAGTCACTGGAGTCCAGTGTTGTTTTTGACCCCACTGACTTTCATTGTTTGGACAAAAACAGTTTGAAGAAAGAAAGTCATACAGATTTGAAATTATGTAACAGTTATATAAACGATGACAGAATTTTCATTTTTGGGTTAACTATCTCTTCAAAAACAAGAAATATGAAAATCAAAGTTATAAAATGGTGTTACGTTTGTTGCACTCCTTGCATCTGAAGCAGTTTTCATTATAGTTTGAGTTGTCTAGGTAGGTTCCGGCCTCACATATCTCACATTCAGACCTCGTGTTTGGTTCAGGGCATTTCTCTTTCAATTTAAACCCTAGAGTAGAAAACAGAAGGACAAAGGACAAGAAAGAATTATCCATAGGTAACTATTTTAAATGTTAACAGCTTTGCTCCATTATATGATAAATGTTCTTCTTCTAATGTTCTTATTGAAAGGACATACATTCTATTTACACAATATACATCTATAACCTAAAGCCTGTATTTAAATTTGCTTTACCTGGATGACATCTATCACAGCAGAATCCCTTCCCATTCCAGTATTCATTATCAGAACAACTTTTTTTCACAGTCTCACCTCCTCTATTTGCAAAATCTGATATTGTATATGACTGGCTGATTAGAACCTGTGGGGAACAAAGGATCATTTAGGTTAAAAAAGTCATGGGAAATGCTTGGAATAGCATGCCATTTGTGTTATGTGTGAGTGCACAGTACAATACTGTATTCCACAATGAAAAGTGCTTTATTTTAACTTTTTAATATCCAGTGTAGTGAATAAACCAGAAGTAATACCTCACAACATTTTTTAAAAAACTCATTATTCACTCATTATTTGGTCAGACTGTGTTGGATGAATGAATGGCTATATTCAGATTGTCTACCACCTACAATTTTTATTACCAACAGCAAGCATTAATACATGATAAATTATTCAAATATTAATATGCTATATTGTTATCACATTATCTCATTACGTATGTTAGTCTCATCACATGTTTAATTTGTTTGGTGTTTAATTTGGTGAGTGTTCAATGAATAAAAAAAGAATAAAACATTTTTTTAAATGTCTTAACATGTAGAAGTCCAATCAAATAATGAGTCATGAAAGAGAAGTGCCTCATAAATTCTTTGGAGGAATAAACTATAACAACATTTCTTCAGAATTATGGGTACGGTAGTCCTTCATTATTCAATGTTTTTTTAATGAAATTACACTGACTCATGGCTTATGCTCATCATAACTTACAAAATCTCAATGTAGGTCTGTCCTAAAAGGTTTATATGTTGTTGTTTAAAGGGGTCATATGATGCGATTTCAAGTTTTCCTTTCTCTTTGGAGTGTTACAAGCTGATTGTGAAGTTGCAAAGACTATCTGTTCCCCTTTCGGGCTTGAACTGATGGTAAAACTAATTACATTATTTACTGTCTTTACATTTATCTTGAAAGATGAAGCTCGCGATTATGGTAAGGAGCGTTAAATTTCCGACGAGTGCTTGAGGTGTTCGGGCCAATCACAATGCACTGGGTCAGCTGGCCAATCAGAGCAGACTGCGCTTGTCGAAAGGAGGGACTTTGTAGAAAACTAAGGTTTAGAGAGGCGGGGCATAGAGGACCTACAATAATGTACAGTATTTGAAAAATAATGTGTTTTTTGAACATTAAAGCATGTCAACATATTCTGTTACACCAAATAATGATCTTTAAAAAAGCATCATATGACCCCTTTAAATTATGGAACCCAACTATCCATTCTATGTAAAGTCACTGAATAATTAACCAATTCAAACACCCATTTAATCATCAACCATGAAGCATACCAACACAACATTTTAAGGAAGTATTTTAGATAGTTTGAAAGTATTACTCATAGGTAAATGCTCTGAAAATACCATCTTACCAGCAAAACATAAGCGCACAGCTGACATTTCCTCATGGCCGCTGTAGGGGGCGCTAAAGCAGTACTTCTCAGTTCACTAAACCTAAAAAATATATAAAAACGTTTTTAAAAAATGTGGAATTGGTGAAGTATCTCTACCGTGCATTTCCTCGGAGGAGAAGGGCAGTCTTTGACTGGAAATGTTATGCGTCACAACGCGTGCCAGTTCTCATGAAGGAATTCGAGAGGCTGGATGAAACCGAAAGTACTCTAAAGCTTCTGTTACAACATTTTGAAAGGCACAGTAACGTATTTACATAGTGATATCGCCACATAGAGGGATACAAAACGTCCTTGGACAATGCATTAAAGGTATCACTGTGCTGTTGAATGTCTTTTGTTGAACGTTGGAGAATTAGGCTTAGGCTTAATACACATAGCCTTTATATATCAGAATGCCAAACTAGAGTTAAAAAAACTAGCCATAATTCACCCCAAAATGAAAAAATGAAAACCATAATTTAGCCTAATCACCTTTATGTTATGACTTTCTTATTTCGTAAAACAAAATCAAACAGTTTGAAGAATATTCTGGTTAATGGTTGCAACTTGCAACTGCATCTCTGAGTGAATGATTTGAACTTAAAACAAGATCAGATTGAATCATTCAGAATGTTTTTTGTGAATAGAATCAACAGATTCTTTGAAAAGATCTCAAATCGTTCTTCACAAATCAGATATCTCTACTTCGCCTACATGACTTTTGCCCCTGATTTGCAGCCAACCCCAGTTCCCCGAAGATAGAGCAAGACTGCAGATTAAAATTTCAGTCTGTTTGTCACACAAAAGCAATCATATGACTTCAGAAAACTGGTCATATGGACCGCTTTTTATCATGTTTTATCCTCCTCGCTGTTACAATATCATGTTTGGTCTTCATTTTTCTTAAACTGTTCAGTGAGTTGAGGAAAAAGTTGGTTATCGCAGACAGAATGCACATACTTAGCTACATACTGAGGCGAAGAAATAACTTCCTCACCTCTAAAGCCACATCCTGTCTCCATTTCCCCTGTGACCTGCAGTGTAACCATGGAGATTGCAAAAAATGCCCACGGATTGTTCTTTAGCATGGTGCCAAAACCAATTCAAAACAAAAACAAAAAACATATTTTGCAGTTAACTGGACATTAAATATCTTCTTAAAGGTCTGATATTTAATTCATATTGTATGCTAAGCACTTTTGGTTTTTTTATTTAGCTATTTCTGTCTGATGGTAGTTGAAAAAACACTCACACAGAAAGCTAACAATGATCTCATTAATAATTATTTATGGGTAGCATGAAGATAGGTGTGGTTGCAAGAATGCCTTGTTGAAAGCTTGTGTGTTTAACAGAGAGGGAGGAAAAGAACAAATAGCAAATTAATTGTTAATTATTTGCTTTCCACCTATATACTGAATTGGAAATATATTTAATTGGCTAAACTAAACGTCTGGTGAATAGTGTGGATGTGAAAGGCGAGTTCACACCTCTGCCCATGACTGCATAAATAGCACAACTGATTCCAGACCTTACAAGGTTGATAAACCACAGACACTTTGCCTGCTCAACCAGCAAGATGCTGCTGTTTCATTAGCTTGACCTACAGGGCCAATATTGCACCAACATGGTTTGCTGCCAGATTACACAGCCAATCAGATCTAAATATAATGCTAAAGCAAGATATTTGTTCCAAATATCAGCAGGGCAGGATACTGAGGGTAATCACTTTGGCTGACACCATAGAGTTCAACAGTCAGGTTCCAGAAGAAAAATCCCATTAATTGTCTTTATTGGGGAATTGGTTTTAAATGATAACTTATCAACATTTAAAGACAGACCTATTGTGAGGTACAAGGTTTTTAATTGATGGTATATGCTTTTGTTGAAGCCATTTTTCACATAATAACGTTCAACTATGAAATTCCTTGTGATGAACTACTGATTCTGGAAAGTAATCTGGAAAAATTGTACCGTCTTCATCTATCCATCTTACCATACTAGTCCTTTTCTTATTGTTCCCCAGTCACGCATAAAGCAATTGTAAATTCATGACTGATTATTGGGTATTGAGGCAAGAACCACGGACATGGATTAGGCCATGGTTCTGGATTCTTGCTGAACCAAAATCAGAGCGTAACAATTGCTGCGTCTCGCTGTGTTCTGCTCACAGCGAAGGAGAAAATGTTCTATGGTGTGGCTAAATGGTGCTGAATATTGGGATCATAACACCTAGTCCTATCATGCAAACTAAACTACATGTGACTGTTGTGAAAGGGCAGCTGACAACCAGGGAAAGACCTAGTGACAGCTAGGAAAGACTGCTGATAGGAGGGAATAGACCCCATTGGGGCTGGGAGGGGTTAGCTACCCATGCCGGCAGGGTCCGTCACTACATAGGGCAGATAATCTACCTATCTTTGGCTATGAAAACCACAAGAAGAATACCCCTGGAGTCTGCAAGAGCGGGGGCACAAGATGACTAATGGACAGATCACACGGTAACAGACTTAGGAACGGAACTGACAATGAGCCAGGAGAACAGCACAACAAAGGGTGGAACAATAGGACTGACAGGACAAAAACTACAGAGATTCGTCTGTGGCTGGGCGAAGATAACATCAGAGAAGGGACTTAAAATCCATCAGGGCAGGAAGAAGTGCCTGAGAGAGCTTCCTCAGAGGTAGGGCAAACCAGTCGGGTGAAGCCCAGTGGCAGGACAAACACCACAGTTCACAGGGAACCAGAACCCCAGACAAAGCCCAGCCAGGCACAAACTTACCCCCACTAATTAACCCAGAAGCCCCCCTGCTACCGCCAGCAATAGAAAGGAAGATGGATGGAAGGAGACCACAGATACTTTTGTCAGGGGTGGTAAAGGAAGAGGAATCAGTTGCAGGGATAACAAGGATTTTATTGAGATTCAAAACAAACAGGAACGAAGCCACTGTCCGAGAGGGTAATCTGGAGAGATCCCAACCAGGTCCGGGGAAGAGAAAGTCAGCTCAACAGCAGGTATCCAGGAAAAGGGGGTTGCAAATGGCCGCAAGTAACAGTCCACGAGCAACGAGACAGTCCAGCCCTCCAAATAATTCCAGGGGCCAGAGAATGGCGATGGTGGGAGGGAGAGGGAAAGGAACCCCAGGAGGGTGCAGGGAACGCTGGGCAGCAAGGGGAAGGGGGCAGGAGGCAGACCAAAGGGAGTCCAGCAGCCAGGGCAGATGGGGGGCTGGAGAGGGCAGAGGGAAAGGGAAAAAACGAACACAAAGCTAAATGGCTGGAGCTAAAACTAGGAACTAGAAAGAACTGGGCTGGATCAAAAAACCCTAATATCAAACGTAAAATAAAAGCTAAGGAAACTAGGCAAGACTAGGCTAGACAAAACAGGATAACAGTCAAGCCAGGTTAACTCAGCAGAGCAGAGATTTCGATCTGGCACAGAACAGAAAACAAGAGGGGAATATAAGGGTGACTACTGATTAGAAACAGGTGTACCCCTAACGAGATAAGATAACGAGAAGGGCGGGGTAACAATAGACAATAGAGCACAATAGAGCCCCGCAAGGCCTCCCTGCCCCGCCTCTCAATACCCCAGGAAACAGCCGCCACCACGATACCCCGGGATGAAATGGTGTCAGGCGGCACCCTGCTCTCTGGACTGGCAAAGAGACGAGACAGGGCGTCCGGTTTGATATTCTTGGACCCAGGCCTGTACGAGAGTGTGAAACGGAACCGATCAAAGAAGAGGGCCCACCTAGCCTGCCGAGAGTTCAACCTCTTGGCTGAACGGACGTATTCAGTTTCTTATGATCCGTCTAGACCAAGAAAGGCTCCGCCACCCCCTCCAGCCAGTGTCGCCACTCACCCAGTGCCAGCCTAACCGCAAGCAGCTCACGTAGTTCCGCTCTGCCAGGCTCAGGCAGTGTGAGAAGAATGCACATGGGTGCACCTTCCCATCAAGGGGGGATCGCTGAGAGAGGACCGCCCCAACCCCGACCTCAGAAGCGTCAACCTCCACAATAAACTGCAGATCAGGGTCTGGAACAGACAAGACAGGTGCAGACGTGAAACATGATTTAAGTCTCGTAAAAGCTCCCTGTGCCTGCTCCGTCCACCTGAAAGGAACACAAGTGGAGGTTAGAGCAGTTAAAGGAGCAGCAGTCTGACTGTAGTTCCGGATGAAACGCCTATAAAAATTAGCGAATCCCAGAAACCGCTGCAATGCTCTACGAGAGTCGGGGACTGGCCACTCTGAGACGGCCCTTACCTTGGCAGGATCTACCTTAACCTCCTCTGCCGAGATTATCTGTCCCAGGAACGGAACGGAGTCTGAATGGAATGTGCACTTCTCCGCCTTGACATAGAGCTGGTTCTCAAATAACCTCTGCAGCACCTGACGGACATGCTGAGTGTGTACCTGCAATGATGAAGAAAAAATCAGAATGTCATCAAGGTACACGAAGACAAATCGATTGATCATGTCTCTAAGGACATCGTTAATCAGGGCCTGGAAGACAGCTGGGGCATTAGTAAGCCCAAAGGGCATCACCCGATATTCAAAGTGCCCAGTAGGGGTGTTAAAAGCTGTCTTCCACTCATCCCCTTCCCTTATCCGAACCAAGTGGTAGGCATTGCGGAGGTCCAACTTAGTGAAGATGCGTGCTCCCTGCAGCAGCTCGGGGGCTGAGGACATCAATGGCAGGGGGTACTGATTCTTTACTGTGATGTCATTCAGCCCACGATAATCGATGCAGGGGCACAAGGAACCATCCTTCTTCCCCACAAAGAAGAACCCCGCAAATGCAGGAGAAGAGGAAGAACGGATGAGGCCAGCTGCCAATGACTCCTGGATATACTTATCCATGGCCTCCCTCTCCGGCGCTGAGAGAGAGTAAAGGCGACCACGAGGCGGAGAAGTGCCTGGGAGAAGGTCGATGGCACAGTCATAGGGTCTGTGAGGGGGGAGAGATGCAGCCAGAGACTTGCTAAAGACCCTCCAAAGATCGAGGTACTCCACAGGAACACCGGTCAGATCCACAGTCTGCTCCTCCTGAAACAAAGAAC